GAGGGTGGCAAAGCCCTTCCTCCCTCCCTCCCTCCCTTCCTTCCTTCCTTCCTTGCTTGCTTGCTTGCTTGCTTGCTTGCTTGCTTGCTTGCTTGCTCCCTCTTTCGCTTCCATTGCCAGCGCTTAACTAACATCGGCTCCTTCAGGCTCTCCAGATTATTCTCTTGATACTCTTCCGCTGATAGAAGCGACTCGCTGCTACTGCTTGTGGCTCCCCGAGAGAGCCAACCTTGCTCGCTGCTGCTGCCACTCCACTTGACGACACTAACCGCACTAGAGCGACACAAACAGACGACCTTTTTTTAGCCCGATTTTTTCTCTCTCCTTTTTCTCTCGTCTTCACGGCTTTTTTTCCTTCAACTTTTTTCCTCTTCCCTCTTTTTTTTTGTCATTGCAACTCTATATACCAATGGCAGCCGCTCGCCTAAGCAGCAAAGTCCACATGGACACTACCATTTACGAGTTTTCGAAACACTAGAGCTTATTTCCCATTTGTCTCCTACAAGTTCTTCTCTGTTGCTCTTGAACTGCATCCCGCGGCCAATGCATTTGTTCCTTCCGATTAAAAAAAACTGACTCAAGGAAGCGAACTCGATTCTGACAATAAATCGAAACTTACGGTCATTCGATTCAGGGAAGAAGCTTTACTTGTCGAAAACTGGATAATAAAATTAAAATCCGATTGAGTTGTCAGTTTGAGCCTCGACCGTATCTGCACTCGTTGCTGTTTATCTCCGTCGAAAGTGATGCTCATGATGGTGCAGAGATAAGATTAGAGTCAAAGTGTCGTAAAAGCTTCTAAAGTTAGGCTCTAAACGCCTAATAAATAAAGACTTTTGATGAATAGTTAGGGAAAAAGAAGAGGCTTTGTTAAGCGAAGCTCGTTCTCGCTACGCGTTTTATGTAAGTGCGTGTCGATGTTATCTTTGGCATGGCGATTCGATTATGAGAATGACGGGTTGTCTGGCGTAAGCGTAACGCGCGCTACAACGAACTAATAAAGGAGACAAGAAAGAAAGGAAGGATAATTGGAAGCGCGTTCGGGGAGCAGGCAGAGTTTGCTGGCAAAGGCGCGAGGAGATGAGGAGATGCGAAGGGGGCAAAGAAAAGTAGGTTTGGTGAAAAGTGGAGACGATGGTCGGGAGCTATTTGTCGGAGAGATCGCTGGGACGATGATCGGACAGCTAGAGCGAGATAATTGCGAGGCGGTCGCCGGTAATGCTGGCCCTTCTCCAGCGTGGTTCCGCGAGCGGCGAGCTCGTAGGCACGAGGCGCGCAAGAGAAAGAGAGGCTAGCGCAGGAGGAGCGGTCGCGCGATGAGAGCGGCAGTGCAGCCTTGCAGCAGGGCAGAGGAGTGGAGAGAAGAGGGCGGGAGGAGATGCAAGCAAATCGAGCGCATCGCGAGGGCGAGGATAAAGTACAGCGGATAATTAATTTTATAGCTGGTCAATTTCCGGGGAATCGGCTACCGTGCAGAGCCCATTTTCGTTAGTCGCGGCGGCGGCGGCGGCGGCGGCGGCGGCGCTGGCAAAAAGCCGCGGCAGCCGGAGCCCGCGAGAGAGCGGCGCACCGGCCGGGAGGCCCCGCGAGCGACTCTCCGCCGTCGTCGGCTCGCACGCACGCACGCACGCAAGCGGCGGCACGCATGCACGCACTGCGACCTTGTACGAGCTGACCGCTACGCCATAAGAACGAGATGAGAGCAGTGGCGGCGGCAGCGGCAGATAATGACGTTGAAAAAAGAGCGGCGCGCGGGTAGAAAGAGCGAACGAGAGAGCAAGTGGCAAGTCTGCGGAGAGTATTCAGCTTGTGATGAGGCCCCGGCACAGATTTACGAGCGGCATCCTTTCTGAGGCTCCACGCGCGGCCTTCTTATTTAGCCCGCTCTTTTTCTTCCTCTTGGCTCAACTCTTTGCTCTTGTATCTCTCCGCGAGCTGCCGCTGCCGCTCTGCTCGGCCTCTTATGGGACACGGCGCGCCACCTCCTCCGACCTTCCTTTTGCCTCCTGTGCGCGCTCGCGCGCCCCAGCCTCGATCAGCTAGCTCTCTCGGCGAGCTTCTGGTCTCTTTTTGCTTCCTCCTCCGCTTGCTCGTCTTCTACTTCTTCTCCACCCTCTTCCTCTGCCACCACCTCCTCCTCCTCCTCCTCCTCCGTCTTCTTCTTCTTCTTCTTCTTCTTCTTCTTCTTCTCCTCCTCCTCCTCCTCCGGATCGCCTCTCTGGCCTGCTTCTTCATTCATTGCTGCAAGGCCAATTTCCGCGCTCGCCGCACGACTACCTACTGAATCTTAACTTTTTACATCTCTTCCCCGTCCCCGCCGCGCTCCCCCAGCTGCCTCGTCACAATTGCCACGCGACCTCTTTCTCTCTTCGCTCTGCTCTCGACTTTTAATAAAAAACATTTAAGGACGCGCCGCCGCCGCCGCCACTAGCCACCATTTGCCCTTTCAATTTTTTTCTCATGGCGGCCGCCAACAAAAAACAAACAAAATCTGCCTTTCTGCCAGCACTTCAATTACAACGCGGCCCAAAAAGCCTAAATCCACCTGTTCGCCTTAATTCATATTAAATAAATATAGTCTCTGGCAGCTACTGGCGCGGGCACAGCTATACAGGCGCGTATAAAGCGATTAGACGGAAAGGGAGCGAACTTGTTGAATGTGGAAATGAGCGCGGTGTCGGAAGGTGGAATTTGGTGCAGCAGCGTGGCGGCGGCGGCGGCGGCGGCGGCGAGTACAAAACGGGAGCCTGACGAATAGCATCGGAGACGAGAGAGGGTCGGCGCTCCCTTCCGTTTTGCTATATACGTGTATATAGCTATTGGAAAGGCATGGCGTTGTTTCTGTACAGCGTGCGCACTACCAGAAGCCGCTCCCGTGATTGCGAGCTAATGCGGATTGTCACGCGTTATCACGCCGTGAAGTATACGGGAAATTAAGCTCCCGCCGGCTGTATACTTCTCCTCCTCTCTCGCCTCGAGCTGTAAGCTGAATCGAGCCTACTTACATTCACTCTTCCTCGCTGATTTTTTTCTTTTCTCGTCGCTCTTTTTCTCCCCCCCCCCCCCCCCCCCCAAAGTGTCAATTATAAGTTGATTATGGGTGTCGAGCCCGTCAGCATAGTACGCGCAGCCTGTAGAAGGGAAGTAGGAGAGAGAGAGAGGGAGGGAATGAGCAAGTGAGTCGAAGCTCGCGCGTCGATAGACCGGTCACGGCATTATGAGAATTTAGCAGCTCTCGTACGCGCGCGCGTTCGACCGACGGTTACGTAATACTCTCGCGGCATTGTGAGAGCTCGTCTGTGCGTGTGAGAGAGACTTAGAATTTGGCTGGCCTATACGCATGTTAGGTCCGAGAGCGAGCTACGTAAATGGGGTATCATGTTCAGTCTAAGGCTTAAGGACTTTTGTTTGGCGTGGGAGGCTGCGCGCGCTCTCTCTCTCTCTCTCTCTCTCTCTCTGCTGCTAGTGTGCACCTGATTCCCGCAGTGCTTCCGCCATTCACTGGCGCTCCCCCTCGAGCAGATCCATGGGCTTGCTTCCAGACAACAAACAAAAAAAATTCTCATTTCGCAAAAGCATCGGGCAATTTTCTATTCGTCGCGGCAAAAAAGTGTCGGTGGGGTGTAACGATTGCCGCCAATTAGTAACGAGAGCGCAAACAGAAAAAGCAAACGCGGCGATTAGCGGAGGATCAATGTCTCTCTTAATTTGTGCAACTCGTGCGACCGAAGTAGCATAAAGCCAACGCCCAATCAGTAAAATGAAACGCTTTGGAGGACAAATCCACGGACAGCGGGCGCGGAGAGAGCGTGGCGCTTAATAGCGGCAGGGCTTGTGCAAGCAGAAGTCCATTTGCCGGGACAACGGTGCAGCCGTCGCATATGCAGGCGCGCAAGGCGCCCGGGCAAATGGAACGGCAGAGAGCACTTGAAAAATTATCGGCGCGCAAGTCGCGGACTGCGAGCGCGATGCGCAATCGCGTCGGCGCGGGTGCCTTTGTGCTGCGGCGAGGCTGCGAGATGCAGCTCAGGTCGACGTGTCCAGTGGCTGTCGGTGTGCGCAGTGGCGTTCCGAGCTACCGTGATGCGGATCGGACGCGCTTCTATAGGATACGGCCGCCGCTCTCTTTCCATCTCGAGCGCCCGCTGCTTTCATCATCTTTATTACACAGCAGCCATTCGTTTAGCCGGTAACTCGTTCGCCACGCTATTCTTTCCATCGAGCCCGAGAAAGCCAACTCCTCCACGTTAATGAGCGGAGCGTTGCTCCGAAAAGAATACCGTGAACGGCAGCAGCTCGAGGAGCATAATACGCGCTACCTGCATCAGCAGTGCCAAGAAGCATGTCGTTTCGTGTGGCGGACTAATGAGCAAGAGGAGCGCAGGCTTCGGGGCCCGCTTTGCGCGCAGCTGCACTGCCCGTGAAAAAGCGAAAAAACGACAAGCCCGAGAGCTGAAGAAGGCATCGTAAAATCAAGACGTCATGAGGATCGCTGCAATTTACATCGAGCAGCGCGGTCGTGCCGCCGCGCCGCCGCGCCGCCGCGTCGTCGGCCAGCCTCGTAAAAAGGCCTCGACTTTTATACAGTCGATCGGTCGCCGCGCGCGCGCACTTTTCCCTCTTCCGGTGCTCCGGCGCAGCAGCCGCCCTCGCGCCCGCTCCTCTGCCTTTGCGGTTTTCCGCTCCCGAAGCAATCTGCCCGCGGCGGATCGGTGGGAGCCGGGCGCGCGCGCTCGCGAGTGCCGGCGGCGCGGTGCGCCCGAGAGCACGACCCGGCGGCCTTCCGCGCCGACTCGCGACCTGGACGGGGCCGCGCGCGACCAGAGGAAGTCGCGGAGGGTGGCTGATGAAGCGGAGCCGCGAAAAAACCCAGCCAGGAGAAGGTGCCGCGCAGCCAGCGACAGCGTTGGGGGCCGAGGCAGGATGTGTCCTCTCGGCGGTCACGCTACGCCGCGCACCGGCCCCCTCGGCTCCCTCGCTCGCACTTGCCTAGCTCTTACCTGCGGGCACATCTTGCACTGGTACTTGCGCGGCGGGTGCGAGTGGCCTCCGCCAAGATGAGGATTCAGGTGCGCAGGATGCGATGGCTTCACGCTCAGCGGCTGCGGCACCACCAGCAGACTCGCCGGAGGACTGCCGCTGCTGCTTCCGCCGCCAGCGCCGCCGCCTCCGCGATACTGATCGTCTCCTGCAACAAGAGCGTTCGTTCGCTTAATCGTCTGTGAGCGGCCGCCGTCTGCGCGGCAACGTCCGCTGTCGCTCGCGGTCGCGCGTCATTACCGATGGGCGAAACCTGCCGTTACAGGAGGCTCGGCGGACCGACTGGTCCGTGCATACTTCTGCCTGGGCTCGAGGAAAGACGCGACACTCTACGCCGTTCTCTGGGGAGACGAGCAGCAGCCGTCGCCAGCGCCGTTCAGGGGGCTCCCGGTCTGCCGCGCCCGCAGCGCACGCAAGCTCGCGCGGTTCACCGGGTGCAGCTCGGTTCGGCCGGGTCTGATCGCGCAGTCGACGGACTCTGGCACGAGCGAGTGTGCCGAGGGCATGGCGGTGCGCGCGCGGCTCCGCATCGGCATCCGAAGCGAGATGAGCGCGCGCGAGGGCGCGCGCCGGCACGGAGTGGGAAAGCTCGAGCGAGGAGAGCGGCCGGGACTGGAAAAGCCTCGAGTGGCCGTTTTCCGTCGGCGCGGAGAACAGTGACGGGAGAGGTCGCGGACGAGGCGATCGACGGTCGCGCGTCCAAGTTTGAGAGGCCGGCGGACGCCGGACTTTGGCAATTGTCCGACGCTCGAGCGAAACGCTGGCGAGTGCTCGGAGCTGGACTCGGCTCGGCATTTATACCGGACCGCACTCGCGACGGTGGCTCGCGCGGAGGCTGTTGCGAGAGCGAGCGCTCGGGCACTAATCGCACCTGAAGGCGAGGGCAAAGAGCGTCACGAACGTGCCGCTCGTGTGGATGCAAGTAGATGCAAACGCACTGCGCGGGCTTACGTAAGCCAGCCTGCGAGATGGACAGTGTATTTAGTGTGCGGCTGATTGAGACTTGTCTCCGCGAGGAGCCTGACATTAACGAGTCTGCCGTGTGATTGGTTGCCTATGTAAACGAGCAGGCGCGCTCGCGCGTCACGACCGACTGGCTGTCGCGGGATTATTGCGGCACGCACTCTGCTCTGCGCCTCGACAAAAAACACGCGAGCGTTCGACACCGAGGCGGCACCACGGCAGCGCTATAGCTTTTCCTTTTTTTCCTCGATCAACAAGGTTGTCTGCGCGCGCGCCACATGTCATTTTGAAACCGAAAGTCCACGAAGGAAAACAGCGCGCTGCTTAAGAACTCGGCCGAACGCGCGCCAGAGCTACGAGCAGCTACGAGCTGCCTGCGTTTACAGCTTGAACGAGCGGCGCAGGCCGTCCCGCAGCCCCGACGGTCGCCTGCTCGCGCTGAGCCTCTCCGTGACCGTTTGCTCGAAAGCGATGACGTTTTGCGTGAAAACCCGACGCATCTGGGACTGTGGCGCAGCGATCGATCCTCTGCGACCAGTTTTATACCCGTTTTATGGAGGTTGCAACGCCAGCGGATTAACGATCAAGCCGATGCGGCCTCTCGTCACTTTACTACGCTGTACTCGTGCATATTGTTGAGGTACGGCCAGTCGACTGATTGCTTGAAACCACGATGGACTTGGTGCGCCACGTGGTGCAGACAATTAATCTCGTCGCTGCTACAATATGGCCCAGGTTAATTCAGCCGCGCAGCCGCGAATTGCTGCCCGTTACAAGCCTCAATTTTTTTCCCAGGCAGTTTACCCTTTTCCAAGTATTTACAATATTAACGACGGCATACTTTCCTAATCCTCGAACATTTGACAGAGCCCTGGTTTATCGCTCTCTACTTTCAATGTTAATGATTTATTAGAGGAGACTGCCACTGGCGAGTTTTATGTCTTTGACAGCGTCTCTACGTTACAAAAAGGGTTTTACAGTACGGTTATTGACTGACAACAAAGACTCGTCCACGTTTTCTAAGAGACGGGGGAGCACTTTTTCATCCAACCTTTATTTTTCGATGTTTGATCAAGTTTGCCCAGCCCCTCGTTGTAAGGAGTCTGCACTCCGTTACAATTTACTTTTCGTTCGGCGTACCATTCAACTTTGACATGCCATTTTGTTTATTTAGAGCGACATTTTTTTTATACCGATCTGACTGAATCTATTTCAGAGGCAGAGGTGGCACGACTTTGAAAAATTTGTTTCAAATGTAAATCTTGACAAATAAGAACCTATGAAAACGATGTAATGAGATGATACAAGAGCAAGCTTTTTTAAGGTCTAGAATGGCAAACATTTTTCTTCTGACCTGGCCTTTCAAACTTGTTTCCATTTCTTATACGAAGCATAGAAAAGCATAGAGAACATTCGCTCAGAAACTATTCTTTTGGGTGAAAAATCGTCCAAATGTAGCTCAACAGCTTTGACAAGTGATTCGTAGAGTCGTAGTCAAAAGCTTTCTTCCGATGTTTGAATGATTGAACTGACGTGATTATCGTTGAATTAAAATGGAAAAAAATGATATTATTTGCAAAGTGTCGGACATTCACGGTGGAAAATCGTTAAATTTGGTCGGGCAAGATATCGGATAAAGCTCCTGATTTACGACGCCAGTTTGCAACATCGTTGGACAACCATCATCGTAGCTCGGGAAAGTGCAGTTGTTAAGTGGAGTTTGTTGTGCATGGGTTTTCGAATCGACAGCGTATAATTGCTGGCTTGCTAACAGTATGAACTCGATCGGAGTGTTGAGCGAAAATGATTAGGGTCGCTCGGTCGTAAAGCGAAATATAGTCGAACGATGCGTCGAAGCGACGGCACTCGGAGCGCTCGTCGACTCGTTGCCGGCGCCGCTTACTACTACTGCACGCGTCCTTGCGAATGTTTATCGCCTCGCGAGATTCGTCAGCTATAGGCCGCAGGTAGCGGTGTCTTGCGCCACGCAGTGCTCGGCTCTGCTCAGCATATTTTCGCGGCAGCCATATACTTATAGGCTGGCTGCAGCGCGCACGCAATTAACGAGCGCTCGAGTGTTTCTCATTGAAAATCAGCGGTGTGTGACCTTTCGCGCTCGCGCGCGGCGACTCTCTCTCTCTCGCCGTCTTGCGCCTTTTTACTACCTTTCAATCTTTCGCAGCAGCAAGTGCTCCGTAGCATTCTGATGTAGCCGGGCGATATTGCGCGCGGGCGCGATTCGAGAGAGTCGACTCTCACAGCGCACAGCGTCGAAGCTGGAAAATCGCCTAAGCGGGCACAGCAGTGCGCGCGAGCCTCGGCCCGGCGCGACGCCAGCGGGCTGGCGAAAAAAGTGTCGCTAACAAGTGTCATTCTATCAGCGCCGCGACTGTTGCTTCCTTGTTTTTCTGCGCGCGCCGCTACGGACGTCAGCTTCTCTAATGGCGCAGCGCACTCGCGACAGTTGGCCAACTCACCTTGCCAGCGTGCACGCTCATTTATTATTATCCACTGACACATTTGTCGATCCTCCATTGCTGCACTGAATGTGCGCCAGCCGATTGCGAAAGCGAGAGATGAGGCCTGCCTAGGCGGCTGCCTATGCTAATAAACCGGTGCGTGGTGCGCGCGGCCGGCCGCGGCGGCCAAGCGTGGCTCGTCCTCGCCGCTGGGCGCGCCGGAGTCGGGCGGAGAGCGAGCGCGCGATAAGCGGCTGCCCGTCGAACGCCGAATCGGCGCTTTTTGCCCGCTCGCGGCGATAATTGGCGCGCGAGCGCGAGCAGCGGATGCAGCGCAGACAGCGCGCTCGCCGCCGATGCCGCTGCCCCGGTATCTGGATATCAAGCGCGAGCGCGTCGTGGGAACCCGGCGACTATTAGCATTGTAGGGCTCGAGCAATGTTCTTGCAGTGCGTCACTGCGCCGCTACTTGTCGCTGGCTGCCGGCAGAGCGGCCTCTTGGGCGACTGTTATCGCGGCAGCCATCGTTCCCGCGGCGCGGCGCGCTCCATTCCCCGCAAGCGCGCGCCGCCGACGGCCCGCAAAAACTGGCCGCGGCGCGGCTAGAGCGGCCAGGCCGCCACCATCCGCGAGCACTGCCTAAGTAGCCGCGCGCACGCCTTCCCCGTCCGCTGGCTGCCTGTTATGGCTGCGCGCCAGCGCATATACATGTCTCGCCGCGGCTAACTAGCCTTATCTCCGCGGATCTTCCGTAATTGCAGTTCGCCGCGCGGATCTCGCCCCGAGTCGCGCTCGGGGGAGGCGCGTTGCACTCGTGGGAGTGGTGCGATCGGTTTTCGGTTGGGCGGACCCTCGCGGCCGGCTCGAGCGCTCGCGCGGCCATAGGTCTGTGCCAGGTTCGGGCCTGTCGAACGATTCGCCGCGATTAGTAATGAGATGCTGCAGACCGGAGGCATTCGGCGCACGTCCTCCGCGAGTCTCGCTGCTGAATAATGAGTGGTCGGCGCGCGCTCGTCGACTTAGCGCTCGCGGCCCTAAATCGTCGTCGGCAAAAACTCGCCGCAGCCGGCCATCGGTCAGTCATCGTCAGCCCCTCGACGACTGCCTGCATTCCCAGTGCCAGCGGCCAAACACTCGCGCCTATCTTTAATTGGACTGCTGGGCATTGCTGCTGATTTATGCCGCAGCCAAACTGATAATCTTACATTTTTCAGCTGGCGTGGTCGCCCCAGTCGGGCGCTCAGGGTCGCGCGTGCTCCGCGATCGATGATCGAAAATGAGGAGGGCCGCGCAAAAAGTAGCATACACATCTTTGGCGGATCGGTCGTGCGGCGGCTGTGAGCGACGCGACGCGATGCGACGCGACGCGACGCGACGCGACGTGACGCGGTCGGGGGTCAGTCTTCGCGGAGCTCTCGCCCCGCTGTCAAACACGCCGCCGTCGGCGCCGCAGAATCCGCGAGCACTTTTAATTGGCAGTAAAGCTGGGCGCGTGCTCGGCAAAAACGCCGAAAAATCCAGTTGGATCTAGCCTTCCTGGCGTTCCCGCGCGACGCGCATTCCTTCCCTGCCCCACGCCGTCCACGGCCGGCCAGTGCCGTCTCGTCGGCTCGGTAGCATCGCGGACAAATAACAAACAGAAGAAGACCGAATCGACGACGTAGATCGGACAGGTCTCTCAACCGTCCTTCCTTAAATGCTTTCTGTCTTGTCCGCTGTCCACTTG